TTTTTAAAGTGATTGAAGTACCTTTAAACGGTGCAAATTTTACTAGGTCTGACCACTCCAGTACCCCTTGCGTGTCTAAACTCGATTATTCCTTGTATCTGTAGAATGGGATGCTACCTTCTCTGGTACCCGCTCTCTCATGCTTCCTAAGCTTACCTTTGACCACAACCCATCTTCTTAGATACCTCCCTGGGGTTCATTGGCAAAAGACCCTTACGGTTCGAGCTCTCATGGCTCGAGGAACCCAACTTCCAGTCTCGTCTCGCATGGTGGAGCTCCTTCACTGTCTCAAGGTGGGTTGGCTTTAGATTCCAAAAGAAGATATAATTACTAAAGGACCCCCTGATCGAGTGGAGCAAATAGCTCCCAAGAAACTTTGATTCAATTAAGAAAGAGTTATTAAGTTGCGTGGAGGGGATAGATATCACTAGAGGAATCCAGGAACTTTCCTAGGATGAATGTCTTAGAAAAACCCAGGCTAAGCTAGACTATCTTCTGATCCTCCACATTATTTATTAAAAAAAATAAAATTCTTCCACATTACAGCAAACCAGAGGTGAAGAGAGAACACTATTACCCATAGTAGGGTGGGACAACACCTTTAGCAATCCCTTAGAAGTTGCTAGGGCTCTCAAAAAAGATTTTTACTGTTAAACCCATTCTGAAGACCTGTATGAGCAAGCTCTCTTTCCTCTTCGTAGCTCTAGAAAAAGCCTTGTGGCTCGAAAGGCCTTTCTCCAAGGACGAAAGCCTCAAAGCACTCAAAGACTGAGGGCAAGACAAAACTCCTAGCCCAGTCGGCTTCCCTGTTGCCATATCAACAATTTTTGGGACCTTATCAGGCTGGAAATTGTCAATTTCTGGAATGAATTCCATGACAGAGGTGGAGTCCATAGGGCAACGAACGCCACATTCTTTGCCCTGGTCCCCACAGTCGAGGGTGCTGAAGACCTAAAACAGGTCTATCAGTCTCCTCAATACTTCATACAAGATTCTTGCTAAAGTCTTGGCCTCTTGCTTCAAGGAGCTCCTCAATTGGGTCATATGCCCAAACCAAGGGGTTTTCATCAAAGAAAGATGGATACTGGGTGGGGCTCTCGTGGCACAAGTGAATCCACTCTAGGCATTTGGCAAAACTCCAGAGGTAGTGATCAAGCTCGACTATGAAAAGGCCTATGACCACATGGATTGGGCCTTACTTGAGGAAGTCCTCAGTAAAATGGGCTTCAGATCCAAATGGAGACAATGGATCAAAGGGTGTATCTTGAACCCATGTTTCTTCGTGTTCATTAATCGTACACCTAAAGGAATTTTCTCCTCATCTAGAGGCCTGCGAGAGGGCGACCCCCTCTCTCCTTTTCTCTTTGCCATAGTGGCTGAGGTTTGCAGCAAATCCACAGAGGGACTGTATCAAAATGGGCTCCTCGAAGGCTTCAAAGTTGCCGCCAAGGGACCCGAAGTGTTGCATCTTCAATACGCAAATGACACCCTCATATTTTGCAGATTCCGCTTACCACAAATGGACACCTTGTGGCTGTTCCACAAATGCCTCGAATTGCCCACGGGCTTCAAAGTGAACTTGGCCATATCTAAAATCATGGGGGTGGCTGTGGACGACCACACTGCTCTTGTATTGGCCAAGCGGCTCAGCTGTGGGGTTGATTCCTGCTGTGGCTGTCGGCTCTTATCCAAACCTATTACTCCCCTCGAAGGGCCCTAACAGGATAATATAGGCCCCGGCTCTAAACCCATAGGCCATATTGGAACAATTGTGGCCTCCATCTCTAAACGTATAGGCCACGTCGACTCCATGGAGGCTGATATAGTAGCGCTTTTGGAAGGGCTCAAGCTCGTCCAACCCCTCAATTGTTCATCCATTACGGTCGAGGGACACTCCAAGAACACCATCTTTGGGCTCAGAGCCTTCTTCTTCCCCCCCACCTTGGTTCCTGGCACACTATTTTGATGAGATTGACAACCTTTGCAGGGATATGCATGTTTGTTGGAGGCATACCTGGAGAGAAGGAAACCAAGAAGCCGATTCTCTAGCTAAAGAAGCGCTGTCTCGTCAGAAACTAGCAACTTTTTGGATCAGCATCTTTTTTTGGGTTGCTTTTAGTTTGTAACCTTCAAAAAGAAGGCTTTTGATTCTGTACTTCTATTTTTACTTCTTCCCTAGTGCATCCGTCTGTGGATAGCCTACTTTTATGTACTCCTATTTTATCAATTAAAGGTTAACATTCTCTCAAAAAAAAGTGGGCCTCGTCAATCTTTGGTGTTTTCTCGTTGGCCTCTTCCTTTTATGGTATCTTTCAACATGGCTCCAACCCTCCTTTTACGGTTTTCCATATTTGTAGGGATATTCACGTTGTTTAGAGGCATACTTGGAGGGAAGCCAATACATTATCCGACACCCTCCACTAAGGAGGGAACCTCTCAGCTCGATATGCATGGAACTTCTTGGGCATTTTTTGGAGCACTTGAGCTCCGACTTTTGTGTCTTTTTAGGTATCAATAAATGTATAGCATTTTTTGGGCCCCGTAGGGGTTTTTGCAATCGAGCACCCAACCTGTTGGTGGCTGATTCTCTTGTAATCTTCTTCACTCAATACACTTTCCATCCCACCCACATCCTCTTAGCAACTGCAAGAAAGGTGTGGGTGAGCTCAACCCCGCCAAAAATTCAAACTTTTTGTTGGTTTGCTATTCTTAAAAAGGCTTTGAGGATGGACCATATGCACGGCAGAGGCTTCCCTCTCCCTAACCATTACTCAATGTGCAAAGCAACAGAGCAGACCGGTACTCACCTCTTCTTGCATTGCGATGTGGCTAGTGTTCTATGGATTGCTTTACAGGTTCCAGTGGGTTTGGGTGATTCCACTATCCATGCAATAGCTCTGTCAAGCTTTTTCTCTCCCCCCTACCCTGTGGCAGGTACCTTTCTTTGGTGGGCCTCCATAGTTGCCACCATCTATAGACTGAAAGAAACCGAAGAATCTTTAAGGGAGGTAGTCCAACCCCATGGCTTTAGGGGATCACATCAAATAGATGGTGATTTTTTGGGCCAAGAAGCTCCATGTTCTTGAAGGTCTCACCACCTCATATTTCCTAAACAGTTGGCGGGAGGCTTTGGATCACAGACCACCAAGAATTGCTCTATCCTCCTTATGGAGACTCCCTGATCTCTATCAAATCAAGCTCAAATTTTGAATGTTGCTCTCTCGACAACCCCGGTCCAGCGGGTCACAGGGTCTTCTTAGATACCACGATCGTAACACTCTCTTTCCTATTCTTGCTACATTGAGGTAGTGGATTCAACCACGACTGAAGCAGTGGCATTCTTATGGGGTATCACGAGATTCAATTATGAGGAGGGGAGGGGGACTCCAAAAATGTTATTGCTTGGGCCTTGGGGGCTGCTACCTGTCCATGGTATTTGGAGCACATTGTTTAGCACCTTTTCTCCTTTTTCAGCGATATTCGCGTCTCCTTTCGACATATGTGGTGAACAAACTCTAGGGCAGACTCACTTGCAAAGGAAGACTGTCTTACGTAATATCACAGATGGAACCACCCCAGTGGTTTTTGGAGCTAGGTTCAGAATTTTTGTAATTTTAGTTTGAGGTTGTTGGGGGCTTTATGTACAGGATGTCTTCTTGGTACCATTTTTTATATAGGGGGCCATTAAAGGCCTCAATTTTGGTAAGTGGGTTTCAGGCCCCAGCAAAGGTTTGAAATACTTCTTCACAGTAATACCAAGGTAACTATTCAAAAAAAAAAATACAATTTATTGGTGGACTACATTGTACTGGGGCGCATTTATTCCAATCAGAATCTGCTTATGGCAGTCAATCTATGTCTGCTGATAAGGCATAATATCATAGATGGTACAATGTGAACAGAAACCAAATATGCGGCCTCTGGGATTCATCTCTTCAACTGAAGGGAACATTTTAGTGATGATTGATAGGTAAATCCTCTAGCTGAGCATCATTATGTGGTTTGTTTGGGAAGAATACCACTGTCACTTAAGTAGTAAACGCCAATCTCTAAGGGGGCATCAACTATCTTAAAGTCTATGTGATGTGGAAGGACAGTACCTCTGCATATAGTTCCCTGATGTAATAGCAATGCCTCTGATGACCATGTAACCCCTCGACCCAAAAAGGGAAATAAGCCCCCTTTCCTTGAAGTAAATTGTTATTTTAATATCTGATTAAGAAAAAAAAATGGTGAATGTATACTTGATACCCCTGAACAGAACAATACGAGTACAAACATGAATATTGCAGAGGGACATCACCTCCAATCACTTTATATGCACTCTTTTATGAGGATAAGAGCAAAATCCAAGGTTGACAACTATGACAACTCCTATCTATGATTTCTCACTTTCATACCATATGAAACTAGTGATTACAAGGAACAGAAAAGTTTAATTATTTGATATGATGAGATATGTACAATTAAATGAGTGACAAAAGAAGAAAGAATAAGTAATTCCCGAAGTCTCCATGTTCCAAACAATCACAGCTCTGCATCATAGGATCGATTCCATCTATGGATTTTGGATATGCATTCTAGATTTGGGAACCATTTATTTTAATTCCTAATTCGTGTTTTTCTGTTTGCCTGGTTTTCTAGTTGAAGCACTTGGCAGTGTTTGCGCTAGTTTTGTTTTTTTTGGGGGGTATTCATGAAGCAATTTTTTCTTTTCATGTAGCAAGTTGTTTGGAGCTGCTTCATGTTTTTTTTGCTTGCTGTGATGGAGTGTGAATATGACATGAATCAATCGTAGTGATTCTGCTCGTAGCTTTGTGGTTTTGTTTTTCCTTGCCATTTCACTTGCATTCATTACCAAGCAGCCCGTGTTAAGTATGTGAGCTTGTTTTGTATCTAGTCTATAACTATTAGTGTGTATAAGGTTGACTATGGCTCTGACCTTGTATTTATAAAATGGTTCGTAAGGATTATTATAATATTTTTCATGCTTAAAACAGATAAGCCAAGAAACAAGGCCGACTGCTCAAACAAGAAAGCTGAGAATGGTTTGCTCAATGAGGTATTCACACCCATCTGCATCATTTGTATTTTTTTCTGATTTTGTGTGATTGTCTAAGTCGGGTATATGTTAATTGGGTTGCATGTAATTTACATTTCCCTGACTGTGCTTTTCTAGGATATCGATTGGTGGGTTGATCTTATTCAAGATAAAATCTATAAGGAGATTGAATATAGTGGCAAAATGGTATTACTGTTCGATCTTCTGCATATGAGTTCTGAAGTGGGGGATAAGGCACTCGTTTTCAGCCAAAGCTTGACTACTCTCGATCTCATTGAGTTGTTTCTTGCAAAGGTACCAAGGAAAGGGCAACAAGACAAATATTGGAAACAAGGGAAAGACTGGTACAGGTATGAATTAATTGGGATATTTGTTAACTTTTAGGTATTTTAGATACCTTTATTGCCGTTGGTATTCATTTCAATCTGAGCTCACAGATGTGTTGTTCAGGCTAGACGGAAGTACAGATGGAGCTGAGAGGGCCAGGCTTGTTGAGAAATTTAATAATCCCCATAATAGTAGAGTGAAGTGTGCACTTATATCTACACGAGCAGGTTGCTTGGGGATTAATCTTCACGCAGCTAACCGCGTAATTGTTGTTGATGGCTCATGGAATCCTACCCATGATCTTCAAGCAATTTATCGTGTTTGGAGGTACAACTCAATACATTTTTTTTTTTCGTTTTTTCACTTTCTTTTACTGTTTGGTGTAGTACGGTGCAATGGATTATGGAAAACCATAATTCATCGTGGTCATGAGCATTCAGTTGAATGATGGAAAGAGAGTTGGGACCAACCTGAATGGGCCATGGCCCCAATGGTGGGGCCTACTCTCTCCATCAGGGTCTAATCATTTGTGTTTTATGGGTTGCTATGATTCTTATGGACTGAAATTTCTATTTGATTGTATTGTACTTTCAGTTACTATTTTTCTACTTACACTTATTATCTTTCCTTACTATTTCTTCTTTTTCGTTTTGTCTTGGAGAACATTTGGTGGTGTTGTTCGTACATGGTTACTAAGTTTACTGGTTTTTGATGCTCGGTCTTGTAGATATGGACAACAGAAACCTGTCTATGCATACCGCTTGATGGCACATGGAACCATGGAAGAGAAGATTTATAAGCGACAGGTAAAGGAACAATTTCTGTAATTTTGAAAAGATATAAAGAAAATGATATGCAAAAAGAGAGAAAGCCAGGCTTCAGAAATATTAGGAAATTGATTGAATGGGATGTCATGATAGGTCACCAAGGAGGGCCTCGCAGCACGGGTGGTGGATAAGCAGCAAGTGCATAGAACAATGTCTAAAGAAGAGATACTGCATTTGTTTGATTTTGGGGATGAAGAGAATGGTGATCCAGTGATAGAGAGAATGCAAGGAACATCAAGTACATCCAATGAAGGAACTGTTGCATGTATGTCAAAGCTGACTTCTTTCCCATCTTCTGATGGGAGTAGCTCTCCCGATGAATTCATGGATAGGCTGCTTTCTAGACACCATCCACGGTACGCCTTCTCTCTCTCTCTCACACACACACACATACATACATGTATAATAGACATCATCCATCTCGTCCCTCCAACCCCCCTTTCTCTCTGTGGCTTGCATGTACGCACACAGATAAATCACGGATGCTACACGTGCGCATATTTGTGGATAGCATACTTGGCAGACATCATCTAATTCTCTCTCTCTCTTGCTGACACACAAGTCATGGATAGCTGGCTTAGCAGACATCATCCATGGACTCTCTCTCTCTCTCTCTATCTCTCTCTCTCACATATGCACATGCACACACATATTCGTGCATGGTTTTCTTAGCGGACATCATCATGAAAAGTTAGCAAAGGTTTTCAAGGCCGTGCTTTGGTTGAATGTACTGGTATCAGCCTTGATCGAGTTCTCTCTCTCTCTGTCTCTCTTTGACAAGACAATTCATGGGCATGCAGGTGGATAGCAAACTACCATGAGCACGAGACTCTCCTCCAAGAGAATGAAGAGGATAGGCTTTCAAAAGAAGAGCAAGACATGGCATTGGAGACGTTCTTGCGCACCTTCGAGTGGAAGGAGGTGCAGAGGGTCTCCTTAGACGAGGGCGGTGCCCCGCACCACTCCCACAACAACAGTAAGGCAATACTTGTAGATAGAGAAAGTGGTGGGCCTCATCAACAGCATCAGAAGCAGCAGGGGAGGGGCCGTGTTCGCAAATGCGCTAACCTTTCTCACTTGCTTACCCTCAGGAGTAGGGACATTCGGTCGGGATCGACCACGGTGTGTGATAAATGTGCACAAGAAATCAGTTGGGAGTCCCTCCACAGCAAGGATGGAAAAGGAAAATGATCAAATGTATAGCTGGGAGTCCCTCAATAGGGATAAGGATGAAGTTGAAAGTTAGCGAGGGAATCTCCTAATAACAGTAATGGAAGAGGGAAGTGACCTCTATGTTCCCCCCTCTCTCTCTCGTTTTGTAGTTGGTTTCTAATCGATTGGGATGGTGACTATCGCATTTGGATTAGTGATTCAATTTTTTTTGATATAAAAATGAATGAAATTAAAAAAGTTTCCCTATCTGAAAATCCTCTCATTGAAAAAGAACTCTATATGGGGATGGGGGTGTGTTCTCATATCCTTCAACAAATCGACAGTCACCCAAGTTTTTTACTTTTGCAGGGCATTCTCATTCACTCCTAAAATCTTGAAAATTCTTGCCTTTCATTATAAAAAAGAAAAATCCTACTCCATGTTTGCACGTTTCTATGGTTTGGCATATGACCGAACACCAATGACATGACACATGCATTGTACACCTGAGAAACTAGATGCTTTGCTTGACGTCTCTCATGTAAAGGTTCTTAATGTCTCTTGAAAGGGCACGGTTAGTTAAGGCCTTGGCTTTAGTAAGGCTGATGTCTCCGAATTCATGGAAAAAATGCAGGTCTGGTTCTAGAAAACCCTATTGTGGCCTAAAAGTCTTTTTCGTTCCTTATTTGGGAAATTTGGAGCTTAAAAGATAGTATAAATCTATAGACATTTCACATATTATTTTATATTATGCACATTGTCTATATTTTGGTGGAAAAGTGTACAAGGAGAGAAGACTATTCACTTTTAGTGTAAGGATGACATAGTCACTCTTCACTATGTATCTCAAACCATCTAATTTGATATCAACTGGTTATATAAATGATTGTGATCTTTTTGTAACAATGATAAATAGTCTCATAATTTACAATCCCTATTTTGAGATACATTTTTTTCAAATTTATAGCTGTCGAGGTAGAATAATTAATTTGATGTTTTTCTAGTACCGGACCAATAATGTCTGATGAGATTTTACCCATGGCTTTAAAACCTACATGCGGCTCTATCCTGAACTATTCCACAAGGAATCCCGCTTCACACATCCATAAAATGTACGGGACGTACTTTATCTCAAAAGGCATATTTGAAACATACACTATTTTGGTAAATCAGCCGACTCGCCAGTTAATGTGCGTCCGCTTATGCATCAAGAATCCATCTTAGCATCAAAATAGTGCGTTTACTTGAGAGTGGCTGCGAGTAGGGGGAGGTAAAAGTGGGTTGTTTGTTTTAAGTGATGATAATGATGCTGATTCTATTGATTATTTTGCTCAGCCATTTTCCGGCGAATTGGAGGCCGTCAGAGCTGGCTGCTCTTCTTCTAATTTGCCATGAAGGTGATCAGTTGGAATGTTTGAGGACTAGGTGAAGCCAGAAGGAAACAAAAAGTTAGATTCTTGGTTCAAAATTTTAGGCTAGATGTGCTCCAAAAACTAAATTGCCTCATCCTGCGGTAAGGAATATTAGAGAAGTTTGGACCACGAGACATGTTATGTTTTGTGGGATTGATTTAGAAATGTGGGATTGTTTTAGAAAAAGTCTAACACTAGAAGGCGGCAGACTGATATGTCAGGGATAAGTTTCCATGGTATTTTGGAGGACGATGCTACTGGTTTGGAGAATGACTTCAATAGAAATTTTTAGAAGGCCTTTTTCAATGAACATAATATGGTAGTGAAATTTATTGGTGTGCCTTTAAGTGTCTGCCAGAACTGAAGGTGAGGGAGCTGGAGGGTCCTATTACCATGGAGGAGGTAAAAAATATAATGTTTTCATTGTCTATAGACAAAGCCCCAGGCCCATATGCCTTTCTTCTTATCTTCTTTCATAATTTTGGGGGTTAGTTTAAGATGAAGTACTCAATATGGTGCAGGAGTTCACGGAGATGGGTGATTAACAAAAGCATTAACTCCACATGCATTGCTTTAATTTCAAAGGATGATTCTATTGCAGGTATCAATGATCTCTGGGCTATTAATTTGCTCACGAGTCCATATAAAATTATTGCTAAGATTCTAGCTTTTCGACTTAGAAGGGTGTTACTTGAGGTGATTTTTGAGCCTCAATCTGCCTTCATCAAAGGTAGAATCATCACTAATGGCATCTTGATTGCACAATAATGTTTGCATTCGATAGCTTTGAACTTGGGGTCTCATTGAAATTAGATGTGGAAAAGGCATATGATGGATTGAAAATCTTCGATGTAAATATGGCTTGTATGGATTTTAGGTCCGAATGGAGAAGGTGATTTTAGGGTGCCTCTTATCAGCTTATTTATCTGTTCTTCTCAATGATTGTCCAAAAGGATTCTTCAAAGCTGCACTAAGGGTTTGAGGCAAGGGGACCCCTTTTAACTATTCCTTTTCACTTAAGTGGCAGAGGGTTTTAGCCTAATACTTAAAAATGTAGAGAGAGATAGGTTTAATGGTTTCAAGGTTGTTAAGGATGGCCCTTTCATATCACATTTGTAGTATACAGATGATACACTTATTTTATGTGATGCAGATTTCCAATAGAAACATGCCATTTCAATTTTCCTGGATGTTGTGGAAGTTCCATTAGGGTTGAGAGTTAACCTTTCAAATACTTCCTCAGTAGGTGTTGGATGTAATTCAGTATTGGTAGATCAATTGGCTCTCAGGTTGGGTTGTGTAGTTGATAGATTTTCTTTTAAATATCTTGGTATTGCTATCTCTAATAGTAAGTTACTGAGGTTGATCTTGGATCCTGTTTATAAAAGATTTTAAGGTTAAGCTAAGCCTATTGAAGACTAAACTTTTGTCTACGTGGATTCGTGTTATGCTTATTGAGTTTCCTTTCGCTAACTTGCCCATTTATATGTTATCCCTATTACATATGCCTGGTCCTGTGGTCGAAGAGATAGAAAGACTTATGATGAATTTTCTTTGGGGTACTTTGGATGGAGGGAAAAATTATCATTTAGGTAGTTGGGAAAAGTGCGTACCTCAAAGATAAAAGGTGGATAGGGTATTAAGAGATTGAAGCTAGTGATCAAGCGATGTTGGCAAAATGATGGTGGAGATCATTAATAGGGATGAGCAGCTATAAGAAGAGGTCCTATTCTCCAAGTATGGGATTGATAATAATGATTTTATTAGCAGGGGAAGAGGAGGACGACTTCAATCTTTGCTCCAACAAAGTTGGTGGTAAGGAATAATAGATGGATGATTGGTAAATGGGACATGATAAATTTCTGATCTCATAAATGGGTTGGGGATAGGCCACTTAAGATGCAATATAGGGAGCTATTTGAAAAAGCCACAAACCAAGTCAGGTTAATAAGGCCTATGTTTATGATTATCACCGTGTTAATTGGAGCTTGCAATTTGCTTATAAACAAATCCCAAATGTTTTTATTTCTCAGTTCACTAATCTGATGAATGATTTAGAGGGGGTTTATATTTTACCGTATGTAATGGGAGAGTACTAATGATGGGATTTTCTCCATCATAATCTTCTCCTCACATTCTTTTTCATGATTGTCACAAGTGGATGCATTCAGGTTTGAAACATATTTGGCAATGTCGTATTCCTCATTAGGTTCAAATGTTCCTACAAGTCTATCTCAAGACAAAGTCGTAACGGTTGACACTTTACGAAAAAGGGGGAACTTGATTGTCAATATTTGTATTATGTGTAAGGAGGATGATGCTCTTTATAGATGTGGGTCTTGAATTCGATCCATGCTCTTTATCTTTGCTTTTTAGACATATGGATATTGTTGGTCAGCTAAGTATACTGTGTTTGCCTAAAAAAGGTATGGTTCTTTCGGGGATTTGCCGAGGGCTTTTGCTTTGGGAGGTATGGTTGGAAAGGAATAGACGTACCTTTCAAGGTGTAAATTCAGATTAAAGATAGGATCATTCATAATGTGTGGTTTTGGTATTTTAATATAAAAAAAGGAGATTAGGTTTCTAGGGTGTATATTATTCTCAATCTTCAAAATTTAGTTAATATGTTGTCCTTAAAGGTTAGACCAAAAGGAAAATGGACACCACCTTTGAATGGTGTATTAAGCTCAACTTTGATGGTTATTTTGGGAATACAGTGCTAGCTGGGGTGGGGGGTGTTGTTTGTAACTGTGAGGGCATTGTGATTTTCACTTATTATGGGCTTTATGGTGTTACAATTAATAATGCTGAATTGTTGGCAGTTTTACGAGGACTTAAGCTATTGAGAGAGATGTATGCTGAATTTTGTTGGATGGTGGAAAGGAATTCCTTAAATGTGATTAGTTGCTATAATAGAAATGGAAGACCTCTATGGAATTTGAGGGGCTTGTGGATGGAAGTTTTGGATTTATGTCAATCCCATGCGGTTGTGTTTAACCATGTCTATAGGGAGGCCAATACGGTGGCAAAAACAGGGATCCAATCGTCATAGTTGGTTGCTTCTTCTTCCTTACCTATGTAATTTGATGTGTTTCATTTTTCATCAATAAAATTACGCTCTTGTTAAAAAAAAAAAAGCACAATAGATGGTGGAAAAAAAATAAAAATAAAAAAATAAATATCATTTCTATTTTTCAAAAAGAAAAAGATTCATGATCATTATCGTGATTGAGATTAGCAAACCCTAATATCGTAGTTGAGATTAGCAAACCCTGAAACGTTGGCCCAGTTTCCATCTTTAAGATGGATTGTAGATGAGGGCCCGCACAAGAACAGGTGGGTCGGTTGACTCGCACAGTACTTTTCCTTTGAAACTTGCACGAGTGTAAAACGTTGTCACACGATTTCGGAAGCAATATTTTTTCCTGCTATTTTGAAATAAATTCGTATAGTAACGGAGCTCTAGTAACACATGCTGGTGCCTTTTAAATACGGAAAAAGTTTATATAAGGTAATTTAAAATGTAGAATTAAAAGTGCGCCTCAAAAATCCATTATAAAACATTGTTTTGATGTTGAAAAACTCTTTAATTGATCATCTTGATATTGAGATAGATGAATATGTAACGAAATAAAGATTTCAAGTCCGTAAATAACGCATCTTGCAATACATTATTTGGATCATCCATTTTCAAGATTTTTATGTGTTTATAGATTACTTGATTTGAACCATTTTTAGAGTTTAAAATTTTATAACTAGAGATGAAAATAGATTCTCAAGCTTTCATACATAATTTTTTTTAGAGGTACCTTAATGGAATTGTTTCAAGTTGCAACCTTATGCAAACCGCACCCTTTAAATATCAAGGTTGAGAGAGTAATTCCCTGTACACCACTGAGGAACCTCTACTACTACAAACCACACCAAGCAAAAACTGGAAAATAAAAAATAATTGGCAATGCCGTCTCTCTTTTAAAAGGCTTCAAAAAGGCCAAAACCAAATCCAATTTCATAAATTGTATGCATTTCTCATTAAAAAATGTTATTTTCTTGGTTTTTATTATCATAATCATTGTCAATCTCAAAATTACATGATTTATTCTGTAAACAAGTTCCACATCAATAAAGAAGATGCGCACTCAACCTTCAATCTCTCTCACAAGTTGCAGCCATAACCCTGTAGGATTTGGCCATGCAATAACCTATACTTGGACCCAAAACCATGAAGCAGGAAGAAACAAAAAAGAATTCTTCTCTTTTCATAATTAAGAAGAAGCAGATAAGAATTAGGAGACATGATCATTCTATCAAAATTTAAGTTACTCCTTGGTGCCCCTTGTTCCTGAAGCCACACATTCCTTACATTCCACTGGCTTGGGTTGCAACCCATCTGAGAGGCTGATCCGAAAGGTTTGTTGAGGGTCTTGGCTTGTGCGGTTGTGCACCATAGCATCCATTATCAGAATGTCCCAATCTCGAGGGTGTAAGAATGTAAACCAACTATCATCTGCAATTCACATGTAAAGAAGAATCAACACTCAAGTAAGCCAATATAAATAAAAAGTTCTATAAAATCAATGAGGAAGAGTTGATTTTTTCCTGATTTTTAAGATGATATTTTCACTGCAGAAACTTATACGTACATGCATTCCTTGTGTTGTTTTCTGCCGGAATTTTCAACTAAAAACATGACAATTTGGAAGAACAATCTGAAATGTGTTGACATTGTGTAAGGGTACGGAAGTCAGTACTGAAAATTCAGAGTTTCTTTTCTCATTCAACAAATGGAGATTCTCTGTTCGGAAAATCCCTCAGCAGATTAAGTCAAAAAAGTGTCTGTGAGTAAATATTAAACAATAAACATGAATACGTCCTGAATGAGTTGAATGTGGCCTTTAAATAAGCTTTCAACAGATTTGTAGGGGTGACCCAAGTAGTCGAATAAATGAAGAAAGAATGAAACTTCTGATGCGAGATTGCAATGAATGAACAGGTGGTGAATGATATCTTCAATATTAATGGTATATTGACTGGTCAGCAGGATTGCTCTCCTAATGCATAGAGGATCAAGGCTTTGTTTGAAGATTTGGGACTTTGAGGGGAGCAGAAGAGCGCCACGCAGGAGAGCACCACACCCTAGAGGCAATGATTTGGTCTAGTTCAGTAGAGCTTACAACATATATGAGAACAATGGAAATGTACCTTTAGGGTCGGGGGAACAGACGATCTTGTTTAGGCCTCATCTCGGAATGAAGCATGGTTTGAGTAGGTCAATAAAGGACAAAACATCTGCAGTCTCTTTGTTGTCTAGGTTTGGGCGAATGGAGAGTGTCCATACCATGGTTTTCAGACATGGCCTCTGGCCAAGGCGAGTCCTGTGTACACCTCGCTGGAAACAAGGAGTGTACTACTTGGTGTGAAATGCCCATTGAGGGGGGGGGGGGAAGACTTGCCCGAGTAACTCGCCTCTGGCTTGGGACTCAAAGAGTATTAAAACATTGGTCGATGCTTACTATCCAGTTAGGATATTAACATAGCTGGCAATGGTAGCCTCCTTGTTCAAAGCTAGGTTATATGGGTTGTGGGAAGATAATGCTCAAGAGCTAGTTGGTCCCACTAATGAGAAACCTGAAATAATCTTCTGATTTTGCCAGAAATTAAACATGGTCAAAAGTTGTCCGAGCACTTGACTAATGCTTTTCCATGCCCTGCTGTTGCGGGTCTTATTGGCAACTGACTGAAGTCATCTGTACCATATGTGCCAAATAACAGACCAATCAGAGATGGTCTTCGTGGACAGTGAAGTGCCACCACCATTTTAATAGGAAAGCTTTGGAGCATTCCCTTAGTAACCCGATGTCCAAACCCCTCAACCTCTTTGGCTTGCATACTGTTTCCCCCTTTAAAGGATAGAATTTGTGAGAATCAACTGCTCCAATCCAGAGATATTCGCGCATCAGTTGCTCTAGCTTTAGAGTTACACCCGCTGGTAGATGGAAGAGGGACATCTAGAAAACACATTTGAGAAGGTTGTCTTGATCATAGTAATACAACCACCAAAGAGAGAAAATCAGCACTTCCAATGTGCCAATCTCCTCTCAAACTTTCCAAAACTGCAGTCCCATTGGCTTTTTAGGGTTTCTAGTGCACATCGGTGATGGAGATCAGAGCACAACAAGTAGCCATGAGTATCTTCTTTTAGAGTGACTGATTCCTCCTAATTTTCGCTCATATTTGGAGGATGAAAACCCTAGGAGGGATTCTGTACCACAGCTCATTCTTTGCCCAAAGGCAATCTTTCTTGAGCTAGGTCAACACTGAGAAGTTTGGTTTTGGCCATATGCACCTGAAGACCTAAGGCAAGTTCAAAGCATCTCACAAAAAGCCACAGATTGTTGACATGGTGACGGCTTGCATCACAAAAGACGAGTGTTATTAGCATATTGAATATGGGACCGGTCAGCCCATTGGGTGGAGTGGAGAAGCCCTTGAGCATATGACTATAAAAATTGTTGATGGATCTGCTGAAGCTGCTCATGCTAATGGTGAGTACTGAATAGGAAATCCCCATCTCAGCCCATGCAAAGCTGAGGAGTCTTGCAAAGTTCCATTCATAAGGATAGGACAATGGGTAGAAAATATACACCCAGGCTTCCAGGCCCACCACTTGGAAGTTTTTTTTTTTTGATGCTGTTAACAAAGCCCACCAATTTGAATTTTGAACCTTATGAGGGAGAGGACCTCATAAGTATACCACAATCATAATCTTTTTTGTGAAAATTACATCATCATAATCCTTCTCCACATCCAATTTGAAAATGATGCCGGGGATTTTCGACTGGTATATTTCGTCAATGCAACTGACTCTGCCTCCCTAGGCACAAGAGCCATACTTATACCATTTACAAGAGATTATCATTTCAGAAATAACCATTCCATTATTATCATCAAATAACAATGTAGATACATTACTTTAATCAAAGCCACACTCTCAAATGTCCCGACCCATCAGATGTCCCTTTTCCAAATGCCTGCCACAGTATCTTCACGACTAGATAAGCAAAAGACGAACTTTCTTTGGTCGGGCACTGGGAACAGCCACAAATTCCACCTCATAGCTTGGGATACAATCTGCCTACCCAACTCGAAGGGCGGCCTAGACATACATAAACTAAGGCACTGTAACTCTGCTCTCATCAGAAAATGGTGGTGGCTCTATGCCACCGAACAAGACCAATTGTAGCAAATAGAGGTAAAACACATATCTCAAGTGTCCCTTTCTGCCTGGCTACCTAACAACACTCCAAATGCAAGATCTTCAGGAGCGTGGCACTCAATTTATTCCTCCATAAATCATTTCAGGAGCCACGTTTGTTTTAGAACAAGAGTTGGTGGTAGGTTTAGTTTTTAGAAGGACTTATGGCCCCTATGTAGCCTCTTCCAATCGCTTTTTCGAATAGCCACTAACCAGGATGTAACAGTGGCCAATCTTTTTAATTGCTGGGTGATACTAGAGTGTGGTGCCCAAATTACAGGAGAGCCTTCCAAGACCATGAGCAAGCAGAGTTTGCAGCTCTTTACTCCCTTTTGCAGTCCACCTTCCTACCAATTGGGGGCCCTAATAAAATCATATGGATGCCTTGCCCCTCAGGGAGTGTTATAGTGTCCTCTTTCTATAGTGAACTCGTCCCCCACATCTCCCACGCCCAATCTTTGCTAAAAGACCTCCCATCCCCCGAAACCTTCAAAGCCTAGCTGGATCATAGTTACCGAGAACGGGAACAGGAGCACGAAGCAAGTCTAGCTCGAAGTTCCCTAGGTGGCGGAGTGAGCTCCATACATGGCCTGGGGATGGGAGCGAGTTCCATGACTTCTAGGGAGCGCATTGCTATCTGGAAGGGTGTGGCTTCCCTACCAAAAGGGAACGCGTTGTGCCGTTCTTAGAATTGGGGTTTCCGGAGTTCACTATTTTCGTATATTGTAAACTAGGAGCGAGTTCCATTAGAAAGCATGTTTAACTCTTTCCAAATCCACGGCTCCAAGGTATTAATGTAATAAAAAATCATGGCATTGAGATTGCCTTTGAATTTTTGATGTCATTGGAGCATGATTTCATACCGAATTCAGCAAACAGAAGTATTTGGGTGCATTGGAGAAAGATTTCATATCGAATTCAGTGAAAAACCCTATTGTGATGCATTGGAGCATGATTTCACACCAGATTCAGTAAACAACAATATTGAGGTATACAGTGCACTACTACACCTTAACTGTGCAATACCCTTCTCTAAACTAGCACTCGATGCTGGGCAAGATTTTGAACCTCCTTCCAATCTTGTCCCAACTCTAGTTGCCTTTCTTTAAAATTGGACACAAGTGTCATTGCAAAATATGTGCGTCGTAGCAAATTTGAGGAAAACCGAATACTATATACGAATAAAATAAGCTTTGTAGGTGTAGCTCGTTCCCATGGCATAAGTTACTCAGTTCCTAGTATGATATATTGGAGCCATGATCTTGGGCATGCGAATATGGATCCCACTTGATAGGGGATCTCACTCCCAAATAATAGGAACCGAGTTCCCATAACTCCGGGTACGAGATCCAAAAATGCAAGGAAGCATCTGGAATCGAGATCCAGTCACTCGGAGAGCAGGATCGAGATTCCGGGGCGAAAGCAGACCCCTAAATGGGTGCTCCCGGTAACTATGAGCTGGAAAGCCCTTTCAAGAAGAGCCTCACAGTAGATCAAATCCAAAGACATGGAAATTATTCTACCCAATCGATGCACTATGTGCAAAATGGAGGAAAAAACAAATAAACACCTATTCCTCCAATTGCGAAGTGACGGGTAGCCTATGGTCTGATGTACTACAGCTATTTCAATGGTTGTGGGTTTTACCACAGACTATACCTGTTCTTTTGGAGGTCTACTACTCACCACCCTTCTCAGCAGCAGGGAGATTTTTGTGAAGACCAGCCCTAGCAGCAACTATTTGCATGCTCAAAAAAGAAACACCAGAATTTTTTGGGGTAAGGAAAGGAATACTGAGTGATCATATCAAATCAATGGTAATTTTCTGAGCAAAAAACTCTGAACACTTCAAATTCCATTCTACCGCTGATTTCCTCAACAATTGGCAAGCGTTGCCTAAAGCAAGGCCTCCATGAGTCTCTCTCGTCATCCCTATGGAGGCCACCGGTACTAGGCCAAATCAAATTGAACTTCGATGGATGTTAACTCGGAAACCTGGGACCTGTGGGATATGGGGGGTTATTCCGTGATCATAATGGGGACACTATTGAGTCCTCCTCTGATTTCATAGGCCACATGGGTTCCACCATGGCAAAAACAGTGGCCTTGCTTGAAGGTACCAAAAGATTCAATCAGCAATGGGGCTCATCATTAGCGGTGCAGAGTGACTCACAAAATGTAATAGCCTGGGCATCTGGAGCTTCCCCATCCGGGAAACATTCATGGGAAAAAAAAGAGTAGATTCCATAGATTGATCTTGGAACAATAAGTACATGAATAAGAACCATTACTTGGCAATTCTAACAAGAACCACTAATTGAACAATAAAACAGCAGCTGTTTTGTTTGTAATCTTCCGCATCTGAATGGATGTATAACTATTACATATCCACCAAATAGGCCAGTTGAATAATATCATATGATTATAATTATTTCCAAGGCACAATATGCAAAAACATTGCCTCTTAAATCTTTTATCCATTACAATTTTTTTGATAGAAAGATTGGCCCATAAACCATATAGGAAGCTCAAAAGCAGGGATGAGTAGAATTTGATCAGGAAGTGCTAAATGTAAATAGGGATGGCAATGGCAATGGTAAGTATACAACATGAATAGAGTAGCCTAAGAATTCAAAGGACTTACAGAATAAAGCATAAAATCTAACACTATTCAATCTTGAACTGTAAATATATTGAAATAACAACCTCCTTGATGAACAGCCTTCAATTGAAGAATACCATTTCCTTGTGGTCCAGACACTGGAAACGTGCAAGATACAGAATGCCTTTTGTGGGCAACAGCAAGTGATGCGTTATACCATGGACCTCTTACAATTGGTTCCCCAAGAGCCTCCAGAATCTTCTGATTTTGACTAGCTTTTTCTAGAGCCTTGCTGAAAGAATTTAGTAGTCAAGAGAACATAAATGCACTTTCTTTCTCTAAAATCATAACTTTAACATTAAAATGATATTTAGTGTACTTCACCATGCAGATATTCATAATCTCATACCCACACAATTATATATCTATGCAAGGCAAAGCCACAAAAAAAGCATGTGTAAATATCTGAACGTGCCCAAGTGAAGGAAAGTAAACATCACAACCATTGCTAAATTTAAAGGTGATAGGAAGGAATAGTGCAAAATGAAATTGGTGCAAAAGAAGTTAGGTTCTCTTTAAACTTTTAACATTTAAGGAAAAGATATATTTATAAGCAGTAATAGATGGAGTAAAGCCTCTTACATGTAAACAACATCTCCCCCTACACCCATTTGGGCTTGATCACATCATAAACTTTTTCTCGTCAAATCTGACAAATTCTTTACAATCCTATCAAACTCTCCTTTTATTAAAGATTCTATCGTTAAGCCTAATTTTCCTAAGTCCAAATCTCTAAATTATCATCAGTTCACCACTCATGAGCAATGATGATTTGAATGCATTGTTAGAAAAACCGGGCGATCTAACCGGTAGCCACCCGGTTAGAGCGGAACCGGCCGCCCCTTGCCGGTTCCGGTTTCGGGCAGTTTTGGTGATTGGCCGGTATTTTAAAAATAAAAATTCAAAAAAATGAATATAAAATCCCAAAAATAGGGAATTTGATTTGTAATACATTTTTTAATATTTTTTACATTATGGTAAATATTAAAAATTGTTTTGGTCATTACTACTCACTTTTAAAATCCATTTTTTCATTAACTTTCAACTTCATTTGAATGCGTTTTGTTTTAATCATTATTTATAGGGTGTGGTTTCTATAAGGTTGCAACATTAAACAATCCAATTAAGGTGCACCTCCAAATTTTATCATAATATGTAATGTTGGTGGAAAAAGTATCAGGATTATCTTAAAATCTATTTTTATATCTAATTATAAAATTTTAAATTCCAAAAATAGTTAAAATCCAGTAGATCTATAAACATATGAAAATCTTGAAATGGACGGTCTGGATAATGTGATGCAAGATGCACTATTTTTGTACTCAAAATCTTTGTTTTCTTCATATTCATACATCTCGACCTCGCGATGATCAATTAGAGGGTTTTTCAACATTAAAACAATATTTTCCAATGGATTTTTGAGGCGCATATGTAATTCTACATTTTAAGGTTGCAACCTTATATAAAAATTTTCCTTATTTATATGCTTTTCATATTTTAGTAAAAAAAAATTTTGCATCTTTTTTATTTTTTTCAACAATTTTTTGGCCGCCCGGGACTTGCCCGGTTAGAACGGTTGAACCGCCAGTTTACCGGTTAGGCCAGTTAAACCGCTTTTGGCCCCATGTCCGGTTAACCGTTCCAGTTTGATTTTGCGAACACTGTTTGAATGTTCCAACTTTAATTATTAAAGCCTATAATCAAATTGAGGCTTGGCTTATTGAGTTTGAGCAAGACACTGAAACTTAATATTATTTTGAAATTGAATTTTGGGTGTAAATCCTGTATAGTCTGATAAAAGTAAATGTGAATGGCTAAGTAATCTGTAAATCAATTTAAACATAATCATCCATTCCCTTCCCATATTTCCTAAAGCTGCCCTAAATTTTTGGTTTCCAAATTGTTAAATAAAAAAATAACTGAAGTCTTCCTTTCAAGTGACTGATCTTTTTTCCCAGCCAAATCAATGAGCGGTTCGAATCCAGCTTGTTGGCATTGACAAGAATCTCAAACGATTGCCATTTTTTACGTAAATCTATGAGGAATTATGTCGCTTTAAAGTTGATCATTCTCAAAGATTTTAAACAAGAAAGTTCCAATTAAAAAATAAATACATGAGGAAAATACAGGCTAAGGCTCTACTTTAAGGTCTTGTTTTTGCCCATTTCTATATTTGCTTCCTCTTTTTTGTGTTTCTTTTAAGTGTTTTAAGACTCATCAAGTTATATCCCATGTCAACTTAGAACGGGAATCAAGCTCAACTCAAAAGAACTTTATTATAAATCTTGGAGAAAAGACCCGTAGATTAGGAAACAGATAAACTCGAAAGAACCTCCGAATTGAATGTGCAATTTGGGACATCCAAGATTAGCATTAGAGAAATACAGACTCAACGAACGTAAACAATATATTTTCTACCAACCAAAAAGGAACCGATGAGGAAAACCCAGATGGAAAGGCAGCCAGAAAGAATAAAACTCAGACAAAAGTGTACCTAAGTAATACGGACATATATCAGAATACAGGTGCGAAACAAAAAAATGAAGGGCTGTGGAGAAGCTTAAAGATAAAAGATCCCCAAGTCACATTACACCAAAAACTTTTCGGGGTACCAGAAAACTATCAAAACTAGTGCAGCATAAATAAATTGGATGTGGAACACTTGCCCCACAAATTACAAGAACGGGATCATAAAGGCCAACATGATTCTGCAGAATATCAAAACCTCAAAATGAAATCCATCTACTAGCCATGCCTCTCACCTGCTGCAACCATAGTATATTATGAGGTCATCGAGGGCGCTTAAAGCAACTCCACCAGTTAGGCTAAGCAGTGCTATTGATACAACCTTACGTCCAAGTCCAGTGTAGGTCTTGTTTTTCCCAGCCTCAGATGAACTACAAAAACTGCCAAAACCAATGAAGATCATTCTCTGATATAGCAATACATTTTCCCTAATATAGCAACAATCATGAAACAATGAAACACGGCCACATTGGTCAAATGGGGAATAGCTGTATCCTTAGCATTAGTGTGGCATCAACAAATAGATAGAACATTTACATAAAGCAATATAATAGCTGAAGTGCTTCTCTCTCCAAATCAAACAAAAGTGCGCCCCAAAGTGAACCAGGCAACCTTTTCAGAAATTTTTTTCTGATTGCATGTCTCTTAATTTCAATCGCATGAATACCAATAACATCATTCCCGATCCCATCCTGCTACACAAGCTGGTCAACCTCTGCTAGCTTTGTTGATTGACATTGATTCTAGATTTTCACAACCATCAATTATGCTAGGACGACAAAAGGAAGCAGAAGATAAATGGAAATTAATAATCTCATTAAGAATATGATGTGGATATGCATTCATTTCACAATAAAGCACATATACGATTTTGAAAACCGCATTTATTGATGGTTTGTATTATTCGGTATGTGCTATATATTCGCGCCACAAACTTGGCGGCATATTTCTATAAATAAACTTTAGTAATTATCAATGTTGTGTAAGCAAGCTACGGTTCAACTAGGTGAGAGCATCAATCCAACCTTGAAAGCATAAACAAAATCTCAAACATGCCAATCCCAAGAGAGTCGACTGAACAGTCTAATATGATAAAGAAAAGTAAAAATTTGGAAAACCTAAAAGCATTAATAATGATGATTGTGATATTGATGGTCTCCATCCCTCAGGCTGCTATGGAGTGTGTCACCTTTGAACAGTAAAATTAACTTTGCTGATGAGGAGAAGATGGAAAACTGGAAAACCAACACAATAATAGCTTAGCATAATTGCTCAGATTGGCAATCTTTGATCTTTCTTTCTGTTCAACTTTTAGTGGTGAGTAAAACCTCCATTGACATGGTTTATGGCTACTACACTCATATTCCATTAGACTCAATTACAGATGTCATTCGAGATTGGGATAAACCACAAGTTACCATTACCAGAGAGTAAATTAGACAAAAAACTAGGAGAAATAAACACAAGCATATATTAAATGGCCAAGAAGTCTTTTCTTTTTCTTTTTTGGGTTTTCTTAAGGAAAGAGAAGCAACAACTTCTTAGAATAACACCCCATGGTTTGCAAACCCAACAAACAGACCAGTAACCTAAAAAGAAAACAAATACCAGAATCTATTCAATAAAAAAGTTGAGCATCCAAATAGCGACTAAATTAGTTGCATATCACTATATGTAATCACTGAGAGAACCCATTTTCGTTTTTGCTACATCATTAATCAAAAAAACACTTTATTCTCTCACCCCATTGCAGTTTTTCAGTATCAGAGGATAAAATAAAAGAGCCAATTTTGAGAATCTAACAACCGAAGCAAATTAAAACAAAAACTCATTTGGAAAACAAAAAGAGAAGACCCAAGAGAGAGGTTACAGTTTTGGAGCAAGAGCAAGAGCAAGAAACTAGCGATATGAGAATAGAGAGGAGATGCTGACCTGGAAGAAGGAGAGAGAGAGAGAGTGAGGTTGAGGGGTGTTTTGGGAATGAAGAGAGAGGAAATCACCCTCCTCTGAAACATCTGGCTCTTCCTTTCCTTTTTCACCTTCGTTTTTTTAATCCTTTTGAACAACACTATATGCCATGTACTGCAGGTTTTTGTGGGACGGTACCACTGGGAGCTTAAATAAACGGATTAGTGGTGTTTGCTTAAAAACGGATCACAAAGAATAGTATTGAAACATAGTGATTTCTCGTTTGGATTATCGATTTGGATCGGAATCTGTGAGTATAAAATTAGTTTTTGGATGATATGAGTTCTAACCCAATTATCTCCTATAATCAGTTTTTTAAAAATTTTATTTAATATTTTTTAGGTGGCTTCTAAATACGCGTCTTATTAAATCTATAATTTAAATTTTATTTTATTTATTTTTAATATCTTTTAAATCATCAACAATTCGATATGACTTTATAGAACTATCTGCCCCACTTATATTAGTTTTAAAATACTAAAAAACTATTATATAAAAACTTGAAAAAGTTCAAATAAAATGAGAAAAGTTTTAGGGGTCTAAACATTGCAAAATAAAAATGGGAAAATAAAAATTGGTTTTTATGAGAAAACCGAAAGTGAACTGAAGGGTCTTGACTAGGGCTGGCAATTAACCGGGTGGCTGGCCCCTAAAAAAGTAGTTCCTGGGCGACAAACCGTGGCCCGAAGGCTGGACTAGGGGGCCAGTACATGCTTGGTTCGATCTGGCCCAGCAGGGCCGGCTCTCTGGGGCCGGTCAGGGCGTAGGATGGGCCAGCCCGTTGCTACCCTTTGTCTCGGGACAATTCCAAATCCGGTTCACGTTTTTGAAAACAGTATTGGGAAGTATATAAAGAAGATATTGAAATTAATGTAGATTGTATGGGGGAAGTATTTAGACCATCTTAAAAACCACATAAATGTTGTGAGTAGTCTCAGCCAGCAAATCATGGAACTAATTTTGTTTTGGTTCAGAAAATAGAATGACCAAAATAATTGGACAAAAAAATGGGTCAATATGTTTTGGGTGAATATACTTAGGGACTAAATTAAAACAATGCATTACAAATAAAAAAGTATTTTAGTTTATAATATAAGGAATCAAATAGTACATCATCACTAAAGTCTAGTCATTTTTTCCCAATAAAACTCATTCCATCTACTAAAAATGTTTAAAGCTAGAACTGCAAGTGGAGAACTTCACTAGGCCTATGAGAGAAAGAGACTTGAGACTTTTTAAATTTTTTTGAAACTGGAGAGGGGTTTGTTTTTTTTGGGTGCTTTCAAATTTGTGTCTCTATCAAACTTGGTCCTTCCTGCATCAAACCATACCAAGCTAAGGCATTGTCGAAGGTAGATCATAATGAGGAATGTGTTTATTAGGAACTTCTCTAGAGAGCATGCCACTCGTTTAAGATTTCACCATTAGGGGCGGCAACGGGTCGGGTGCCGGTTGGGTCCGGATGACCCAAATAGTATTCGGGTCCAAAGTTTAGACCCATATCCGGACCCTTCAGGTCTTGGGTCTGGTCGGATCCATTGCCATCCTATAATTATGAGCTTATTTTCCTTCATTTTTACCTTTTGTTTTATCATCATATTCCCTATGACTATGAGCTTCTATTTTTTGCCACTAATATTGTAAATGTTGCCAATATTGTGGCAATATAAACATCTAGCACACGCCTAAAGACACATGATTGTCATCATATACCCTATGACTACGAGTATAAGTCGGGTCCGACTAGATCCGGACCCAAATAGTATTGAAGTCCAAAAGTTGGACCCATAACCGGACCCGAACTTGGGTCTACCTATCGAGTCCTGAGTCTAGTTGAGTCCATTGCCACCCTATTCACGATACTTCACTAGACTTAGGTGAATCTTAAAGGTATTCTCCTCACAATTGCATAAGAAAAAGAATAATAAGAAACTCAAACACAAGTCCAAGCGATCAAGATTCAACAACTTCTCTCTAGCCTAGTGCGCATTTGTCTTTCTGAAATAAATCTTTCTAATTTTCCAAAAGTTATGCGTTTGATACACGGTTTCATCTAAACGTTCAGAAAGTAATCTTCCAACAAAAGTTCTCGTTCCCTTGTTAAAACATGAAAGATTAAGTTCTTATGGGGTAGGAACGTAATCTTCAAAACATTTTTGTTGATCACTATTCGCTGTTCATTATATAAATACATAATAAAATATTACTATAATATAATATAATATAATATTATACTATACTATATATTTTTTATTAATGTAATTTATATTATATAGTATATGTAGATTATATATTATATGTAATATATTATATTAATATAAGGGAAAAGTTTATATAAGATTGCAATCTTAAAATGTAAAATAACATATGCACCTCAAAAATATATCGGAAATGTTGCTTTAATGTTGAAAAAAGCCCTGTAATTGATCATCTCGACATTGAGATGTATGGAATATGAAAAAAAAAGTTTTTGAGTCCCAGAAATAGTGCATCTTGCAACACATTAGCTAGACCATCCATTTTCAAGATTTTCATATATTTATAGATTTACTTCATTTTAAACATTTTTGGAATTGAAAATTTTTAAATTAGGGATGAAAATAGATTTTAAGATAATGCTAATAATTTTTTATAACAAAATTACATGTCATGATAAAATTTTAAGGTGCGCCTTAATTGGATTGTTTAAGGTTGCATTCTTATAGAAATCGCACCCTTAATATAAATATCTTATAGTATACTATTATTATATAATATATAAATATCTTATATTATATTATAATAAATATTATATTATATGTTATATATTATTTAATTATATATATATATATATATCTATATATATATATATATATATATTATCAAACATAGTACCCATAATTTATTTCAACTTTTCAAAATATATCTTTAAAAAAAACAAACGCACCTTAAAGACCAAATAACACCCTACTCATTACTTTTATTTCGAATAAGAGAGAGAAAATCTCTCCACTTCCTATTTCCAACCTACTCTCTCCCTGTTTTCTTCTATGTTGGTTTGAACCATGGAGATAGGCTCCCAAGAACCCATTCAACTTCTGATGAGTGTTCTGATAAGAGAGAAGAATTAAGAGCCCTTCTCGGACACTAATGAGTGAGAAAGTGGAGTTTTTTTTCTCCTTCATTATTTCATGGTAATCGGTATCGGTATCGGATGTGTTTGGGTTTTTCTCCTTTGTTTGTAGTTCCATTCTCAAAATAATTGTGACCGTCTTGTATCCGATTTGAGGGTATGGGAAAGTATATAAAGATATTGTTTTCTTTTAATACAAGGTGGTCATAATTATTCTTGTCTACCGAATTTCAAATCGGGTAGTCGTGAGTGTATCATTAAGTAGCTTCAAAATTTAAAGAAAATTTTTTCAGATTTGTGATGTAACTCAAGCTGTCCAATTTGAAATTAGATGGCTAGAGGTATTTATAACGCCCTTGTAAAAAAAAGTATATAGTCTCATAGTGTACAAGCCTATTAGTTATTGGTAAATTGTTTCATACTGGTAAGCTTGAATAGAAACCGAGTGCTTAGTTAGTTTCCTTTTCTTTTTTCTTCAAACATTATTATTATAAATATATATTATTTAATGGGATCATATTTGATTTGTTTGTATTCTTGAGAGAAATCAGAGAAACGTTTTTATATGGTGAGGTACAGGTGATAAGAAATATAGGTATAGTTGTCAAATAAATATGAAAGTCAGGATGGCCGAGTGGTCTAAGGCGCCAGACTCAAGTTCTGGTCCTCGTGAGAGGGCGTGGGTTCAAATCCCACTTCTGACACCGAAAATTGAGTTTTCTCATTTTTTTACATAGTGTAATTAGACAAAAATCAACTCATTTTTTTGCATAGTGTGATAAGACAAAAATCAACTCATTTTTTTGCATAGTGTAATAAGACAAAAATCAACTCATTTTTTGTATAGTGTAATAAGACAAAACACACACTTTACATAGTGTAATAAGACAAAAATCAACTCATTTTTTGCATAGTGTAATAAGACAAAAATCTCTTTTTGCGTAGTAATAAGTTAATAACGCAACACCATATTTTCCTTTTAGTTTTTTTTTTCTAAGTTTTCATGGGTGGAGGGAACCCTTTTTATTGCGCTGTCAGGGGAAACATCCGATATTGGGTTAAAGTGAGAAGACGAATAGAGTTTGAGTGTTCTTGTTAATTAAAGCTTGTAATAATAAGTGAAGTTATTAATAATATTATAGAAATAAATTTTTTTTTTCAATATTAAGGGAAATAATATTTGTTATTTTTGGTGTTAGAAACAGTCACTTAACTATTTTATTTTATGCATAAACTCCTCTTTGGCCAGATTTTATTTTCCCAAATTGCCATGCTTGGCACTTGAAGTGCTGGTGTCTAAATCGTTCTTCTTCAAGTGATGGGTCCGACACTTAGAAGCAAGGTTAAAAAAAAAGCTGATTTGATCCGGATCGAGGAGCACTGTCCTGGATTCGTTAGTAAACGGGGTTTCGACGATTTGCTACATAGAATGTTGATGATGTCATAATTCGGATTGATTACATCACAAATTCGGATATATCACAGGACACGTTATCAGTTTTAAACATGTCACCGATTCCTACACTTTTCAGGTTCCCAAGTAAAAACAGGACACATTATCGATTTCGGACATGTCACCGATTCCTACACTTTTCAACACGTCACCCGTTCCTATACTTTTCAATTTTTTATTCTTTCAAATGCGGGTCTGACCATTTATCACACACAAGCTCATCAGAACGGGCCTGCCCATTTAAGGGTTGCACTCCTCTATGCATCAAGCTCATGTAACATCACCCAATAACCTTCCTTTTATAGTGGCTTGACCTTCCTAATATTTTTGATATAGGACTAATTTTTATTCTTTTCTTTCAACCTCAACTAGTCAACCACCTTAGCCATATTAAAATTAGCGCGCCATATTAAGTGAGCGTCATTTACTGATAAACCTTAGCGTGCCATATGAAGCATACCATATTAAATGAGCATGTCATTTAATTTATAAATCTTAGCATGTCATATTAAATGAGTGTGTCAATTAATTTATAAACCTTAACTTGACATATTCTCCAATTAGCATATCATATTAAATGAGCATCATCAATATATTTTTTTAATAGAAACAAATTTATATAGAGCCGAGGCTCTAAACAATCAAATTAGAGTCCACCTCAAAAATTTCACTAGAAGAGGTTGATTTGATATTAATATCCTCGAATTGACCATCTCAACATCAAGATGCATGGACATGAGAAAAAATGGATTTCAAGTTTTGAAAATAGTGCATCTGGTAACTTATTTTTTGACGGTCAATTTTCAAGATTTTCAAGTTTTTATAGATCTACTTGATCTACATTATTTTTGGAGCTTTAAATTTTATAATTAAAGGTGAAAATATATTTTAAGGCTATCACAAAGATTTCTAGTATTAAACCATATTTCTCAATACTATTTGAAGGTGCGTTTTACTTTGATTATTCAGAGCCTTGGCTCTATGCAAACTACACCCTTTTTTAATTAAATGAAGTAATTAGCAGGCCAAATTAAAAAAACTGTCACATAAAAGTTTTTACTATTTATTAGTAAAATGGCTTTATCAGTAGGTTTTGTTACTATGTTAATTTTTTTAGCTATTGTGCATGTTGATGAGATGCTTTTTTTTAAAAAAAAGAATTTGATATCTTATTTTTCAATTTTAAGGTAAACTTTCTTCTTCTTCTTTTTTCGAATTTTTTTATTATCATAACATTAAAATTTATTAGGGGTTTTATTTTTATTTTTAGTCATATGATATGGAAGCATTTTCTAATAATTTTAGTTCATGTTTATTACAATATTATAAATAATAATTACACATTGATAACCAAATCTTGTATTTTATTTATTAATTTATTTACATTATAAATTATGTAATGTTTATTTTTTCTTGTAGTTTTAAATAAGATTTTTTTATATTAGATGATATTATAAGTCATTTTAGATTTGTTCTTATTTATATAGTAAAATAATTATAAAATATAAACCAACAATATTAATTTTATTATATAATATTATAGTTAGTTAGGTTGTGACAATTTTGGATGAGTAAAGCAAATTAATAAATGTTTAATACTTTGATGTGGTTCTAATTTCATTTTATATGAGAAATTATTATTTTTAATTTTATAATATGAAAGTGTTTTCTAATATTTTTAATTATTTTGATGTAATAATATACTATATTATAATCAATAATTAATAATTATACATATATCCCGACAGTAAAACAACGTCTCAATATTTACCTATTTTTACAAAGTAATGAAAATAAGCACTGCACCACTCCTAATTTCTTTTAGAAACTAGAAGAACACTATTTTTAGGGATTTAGAGTGATTTTTTGAAAAAAATTTGGGACAAAACTTGCTATTACGACCGATTCTCCAATCCGACTTGCCAATCCACCGATCCTATACAATTTTTGGGGTGGACGATTGGGGATCGCCGATCCGTTTTTTAAAACCTCAGCTTAGAAATATTGAACACATCTTTCAGCAGAAAAGAAGTACAAGGTTGTGCTTGATAACATGGACTTTTTAAAGTGGGAGTGGAACATCCCACTTCCACGTTTGATAGTAGGGAGATTTTGGAAGGGCCGCATTCAACATCCTTCTACATTCCTCTTTTTTAATGTTAGTATGATCCCATTTTTTTGAAGGTCTCACTCCCATTTTTCGAAGGGCAGTCTTCCATGATAATTGGGAGACTCCCCTCCTCTCGCATAAATTGACCCAAACACTTTTCCTAATATGGTAACAAACTCACAAAGAAAGTTACGATTCTCTCTTGAGGAGTAAATTACATTAATAAGGGGCCCTTATTACCATTTGGTGATACTCATATACTACGAGCACTACCCTACCCCTGGACAACAGGCCTATTGTTTATGCAATCACGCGAGCTCTCGAGCATTCGCATTATCGGATAGTTCGTGTTATTGTTTATTTTCTAATTTTTTGTTGTGCAGTGTTCGAAATATCGGACAGCTCTCTAATTTTTTAGACCGAATGAACTCTCTTTTCCTATCATTTAACTTCTCTTTCACACTCTCTATTCTCTCTCTGTAACCTAGAGCCCCCTCTCTCTGCAAAGCAGCCTTCTAAAAACCCAACCACACAAATTTGACCAGCTAATCACGTAGTTTTAATGAGTTTGTTTTATTTTGAGGAAAATGAGTAAGATTAGGGTTTTGGGGATAAAACAAAAACCCCAAAATGTGTTTGGGGTTTTTGGTTGACATATGTTGTTAAAAGTGCGTATCGTTAATCATCCACAAACTTTACCAAAAACAATCAGAATATGCGAGAGACTTATTTTATATTAAAAATAGGATTCGGTTTTTATGAGTCCATATAGAAATAGAGTCACCTCTGAAAACTCTTTTTTTGAAATGGATATTTGAACGAAAATTTCAAAGACATGTACTTTCTAATATGAAGATTATGAATACGAAAAAATAAATAAATTTTAAAAATTAGAAATAATAATTATACGAAACATTTGAACCGTTAGTTTCAATTGTTTTAAGATGGGCTACCTATTTGCATCCATCTTTAAGATGGATGTTTTATACCTCGAGGACCCCAAATATAGATATGCGGTCCTCACTATATGAAACAATTTTCCTTAAAAATATGGGCATTCTTGAGAGCTCTTTGCTCCCAAATGGCGATTATGATTTAACATAAAGCTTTTTTTTGATATTTTGTGTTGAATGGTTACCCTTTCAATAATGTTAACCAGGTAGGTACTGCTCGTATTTCATATAATTAGATTATATATCACTATGATAGTGCATTCCTTTCGCAATTTTCACTCCATGGTACAAGCATCAATTATAAGTGGGAGAAAATACGCCCCTACACGTTTTTTCAAATAGTTTAGGAGAGTTTTTTTAAAGTATTAATGGGGTGGCGTAAGTGAAAATAGAAACCACAACGTGATGACTAGGGTATGAAGGTGCTTGCTACCAATACCCCCAACCCCCTTTCCAATATCAATTTATAGTACTGATTAACTCAAACCAAAACCCAACCCCCTTTCCAATATCAATTTATAGTACTGATTAACTCAAACCAAAACCCCACTTGCATTGGAGGGCATGGCATCCAACCCACTTGTAAATAGGGTCCATACCCAAAACCTTATTTGCATTCAAGGGCATCAAACCAAGGGTCCATTAACACCAAAGAAAGTAGAGAGAAAACCCACATCAGCAGTAAAATAGAGACACAAGTCCACTAAGGGCAGATGCTTATCAAATCTCAATCGCTCTTCTCATTCTGTATATTCTAACTGCTTCTAAAACCACAAGAAAATGGACCTATAAAAATCAATAATCATTAACAATCTTTACAGACTCAAGGCTTGAGCTTATTCAAATTGTTAACAGAAAACAAAAACATGAAGACACCGTAGAATCACAAATGACACTAGTAGAAAGTTGCCTCTTTTATCTGTACGCTGTTTTCCAAATGGTGATCCAAATAGGTTGTGTTAAAGCTTCGAGTATTAGATTGGGATCTTAAATTGGTCTTTAAAATAGGTCATGTTGAAGCTTGATATCTTCCAAGATACTATGAGATTGACACTGATCTTGAAAAAGCTTAGAATCTGGCTTGCTCTCTTATGATCCACTGTTAAATCTTGTACTCGAGCTTCAACAAAGAGAGAGGGAGAGGGAGAGGGAATGGCCAGAAGAACTAAAAATAGGCAATTATCTTGAAACATAAGACAATGCCTGAACAAAACTTACTGAGTGGCAACTCAACACAATGATTTAACCCAACTTTGCTGGTTCACAGGCAGTGTGACCAATCCAGCCTCAGATACGCAAACATAACCATCCTGACTTGTATAACTGGAATTTTCTTAAAGGCTCTAGACAGAAAATCCCCGTCATAAAATAACTTCCAAAAACAACTTTGTTGCCATCAGTGTTTTCAGACTCATCTCAGGCCTGGGCTGAGAGAGTTGAGCTTCAACACAGGGAGAGGGAGCGGGAGAGGGAGAGGGACTGGGCTAAAAGAGTAAAGCACTTGGGTTTTTGGACGGTATATAGAGAGAGGGTGACAGAGAAGAAGACAAGATAGAGAGAGAGTGGGAAGGAAGAGAGAAGAGAAGAGAGAGAGGGTCTCGGCCAAAAGGCCCCATGTTAGATAAGAGATACAGAGAGGGCAGAGAGTGTTTATAACACAATATTTTTGACAGAGAAGTTATATCACCGAAAATTGAACTTAAATTTTTGGATATATAGATTCAGGGCTTTATTTTGATATTTTGGGATACAATTTTGGGTAATCAAACATGGTTTTTGTTCTTTTAGGATTATGCCTTTTTTTAATCACTCAAATTTATATATTTAAGTACAACAAAACATAGCCTAAATTGGAAAAAAATATTGTAATTATTTTTTCTACATAATAAATTTCATATGTGGTGCCCTGAATCGTTTTCCACGTAAATCTTAGTGTTCGATTTATTTCTAATTCCAGAGAATTTATATATTTATATTTCTGGCACAACTTTCTTCCTCATAGAAATCTCATTACATGAACAAATTATTGGAAATGGGAGGAAATTGTGACAAATTTCGTTGCTTTGACAGGAAGATGGGGCACAACTCACAGGCCTTTACAAAAAAAAACGGGTATAATTCTCACATCTTTTATAAACTCAAATAAGAAGAGAGTGATGGCCATTGCCAAATCTAAAAATTTTTCATACATCCGACGCACTGATGCATCCAATTGTGGTTATTTTATGAAGGAAATAAAGTCCTTCTTCATTGTCAAAATTGCATTATCCAGTATGAATACGCTTCCTCTTCTGGTCACCCCATTGCAGCAATACAACAACTGAAAGGGATCATATGAATGAGCAGATACTCTTCAACGACTCCCTCAATCCAAATCCAGCAGCATTAGAGAGAGAGAGAGAGAGAGAGAGAGAGAGAGTCTCGTCGTAGGACGAACCAATACAACGACAGATATACGTACTACAAACCAACCACCGTACCGGTAACCTTAAACCTTTTTCGTTACG